CTGCTGTTTGCTGCTGCTGCTGCTGCCATCGCCAATAAAGGTCAAATTAAGGGGGCGGCGCAGGAGGTCGCTGCTGGTTTGCTGTGCATGCATTTAACCCCTAACATCGCGACGCGTGCAAATAAAATGGGAATGCCCCGGCATTGGCAGCGGCATCAGTATCCAGCCATCCAGCATCCGCAGAGGAGAAACTGCTCCAGCTTGAGCTCCCCTTGGGCGATGCTGCTGACGTTGCCATGACACTGTTGGACCGGTCTGAAATTCTCTTGGGCTATCGGAGCAGGAAATAATGTTCAACCAGGCGGAAGTAGTTGCTATATCAAAACGTATTGATTGACTTTGCGAATGCACTCCGGTAACAGGCCACCCTGGGATGGATTGAAATTGGAATTAAAGTTCGCCATAAGCATAAATGAGTTCCAGCCATAAGTGGTTATCTGAATGTTCAATTCTATTCCTTACAGGACCTAAGCATCACTAATTCTTATGGGAATTTTCTATGTGAATTAAGTTTATATTTGATAAAGTTTTAGCTTTGAGTTACTAGTAATGTTTTAATGTTATGTAGGAAATTATAGTACCAATCACATGCAGATTTCGGTTTGATCACGAAAACTATCCATTAAATTTACATACATTTACATTATAAGGGATTGAAGTTGGTAAATGGGTTTCGTTTTCTCTCTGAAAACTCTTCAGAAACCTTCTCTACCTATCGTTTACAACATTTCTTTTTACTTGTAATAACGTAACGTTACTCAAGTGACAAGTATATGGACATTACTATATCTTGCTAACTGTTGCTTCTGCTTAAGAATACATTCACTATGGGTTTTGGAATCGTTTCCTTTCCTGTTACCTACAAAATTTCTATCCAAAATACTCCTTTACTCAAGCAAACATTAAAATGGATGGGCCTACCTGACTTTCGATATAATCTTAATCGTTTTCGGAACTCTCCTACTCCTTTCTAGAGACCCGCCTTCTAGTTACTTCATTAGTGCATCTGTTCCGCTTTAAAGTGACGAGCCTGCCGGCTGAGAAAGCCCTTTCTCCTGCACAAAAAAATACAATTTGCATTTATGCAAATCGATGGCGTCGGCCATCTTGATCGCTTTCACTTCAACCGCTTTCACTTGCAAGTGTTGTAGCTAACTGCAACCTGAATAAATCTCTACCTGAGGCACTGGTACATTTTATGCACTTAATTTATGCGCTTTTCAAGTACTTCTCGGTAGAAAAGTTATGCCACGTGCCGTTCTCAAATTTAGTGACTTTCACTTTTAGCTTAATACCATTTTTACATGTCGCCATATGAGAAAAAATGTTGTGCATGTTCGGTTGCAATTTTTTTCTGTTGTAGCTGGCAGGTTTTTAATTAAAAAATTCTACAGGGTGGGAGGTCACACAAAAAAAAAAAGAAAAGGCTGGAGGTTGCCGCCATTTTAATGCTGATTTTATGCAAATGACAATTGATTGAAAACGGGAGGCGGTCCCCTTTGTGCTCGCTGTCTTTAGGCGTGTAAGCGGGTTTTGTGGGGATATTAAAATAATGACCATAATATGCCATAACAAACAAAGTTTAATAAATTATATTTCACGTGGCGCTATATATTTTTCATATTTATGGTTAAAAAATTTTTAAATAGTTTAATCAATAACGATTATTGGCATAAATGGCAGAAGGAAAAGCGAGTTGTTTCTTCCTATCATCGACATCGATGTTATTATTCAGTTAAAAAAAACACATAATTTTAGTAATTTCTAACATTTAATTCATAATCAACAAAATAAGAATATGGCTATTTTTCTGTGCTGTTAACTCTTGTAATTCCCTTAGTCAGGCATATTATTAGCCCATAAGATTCGCTTAATAAAAGATTACTTGCTATAATCTTTCCCAAAATATTAACATAATTCAGTTGTTTAGTTTTCACAAGAAAATCAACAATAAACTTTATGATAACAACAAAATCAGTTTATTTACTATTTATGTTATAATTACTCTACAGAAAATCAACAACTAAATGCCTGAAAAATAATGCATTTATAAAGTGACTAATTTCGTTTGTTGATTTAAGCCTCTTTTATTTTCGCTAAATAAACATTTGCCCAACTCGTGTGCCAATTCAATTTTTAGGTATTTTTATGAAATTAATTAAATTGTTACCGTTAGATGCTATTGACCAAACGCTAACGATGCGTTTTGGCCATTCTCGAGGCCTGCGTCCACACACATGCAATTAGACATTCACACATATTTGGTAATTTTATCCTCTAATTGCGTTGGTCATTTGAACGTTAATCTGATGCATCGAGAACGTGGCAATGTTTTCTGTTTATGCCAAAATTTAACTAATTGTAATTTCAAAATACGCTGATGTTTGTTCAGGAGATTTGTCACTCATTGAAAAGAAATTATGGCCAAGAGCATTACTACTTTGGCAGCTGCTTCTTGCTTCTTTGTGGTCCAAAATCTATAGAATTTAAGAAGTTAGAACAAGGCAATAATATGTCTTTTGTTTCGTTTGGAGTATTTTTTATTGGTTAGATTTTATTTATTACAAGGATTCAAGAAACTTAATAAAAATTTCTTCAAATATTTGATTAGGTTTAAGATAATGACTTTACACAGACATTTTAAAAGCATCTGAAATTGGCTATAAATTAAATTAATTGAAATGAAAATAGTTTCTCCGGCTTTGTATCAAATACATTTGTTTTTATAACCATAACTTTAATATATGATTTTGCTCTAATGCAACATAAATATATTCCACTTTTTCCGCCTCTCATATTTCGTCTACTATTCATTATGATCCTGGGTGGGTCTTTAGCATTCATCAGTCACCCCAGTAAATTTAATTAACCAAGAGCACCACCCTAACACCCTTGACTCCTCCTCCCACACACACACACATGGATGTTCTTTGGGGGGAATATTTGATTTAGTGAGCCCTGCCATCAAGGACTGCCATTAAAAACCACATCAAAATATACAGAAAGATTGCCGAAGCAATGTCTTCGACGGCTAGCATATTGCGGAGCTGAACAATAAGCAAGTCCAAACTTAACGACAACTAAATCCAATTATAAGCATTTCGCTGGGGCGCAACAGGAGCTGCCAGGATATGGCGTGCGCTGCACATCGAACACGTGTGCGCAACGAATTTTTTGTTTGGTCCTTTGGGGTGGTTGGGTGGCTGGGTGGCTGTGGGTTGGGTGGTTCGGGTGCCGCGGTGGCTGGGCGGCTTGAATGGGTGCGTTGGTCTCGTTGGCAAATTGCATGCCGCCCGCAGCGTTGCATAAAGGTTTACTTTTCATTTACGCGCGCCGAAAAGGAAGGACAAAGGAACAACCCTTACAAATGCATTGCACCCACCCACACTCTCGTCGAGTGCCAGAGAGTCCTTTGTGAGGTTTATGTATATATGTGCGTATGTATGGTTCTACCCACTCCAGGAATCACCGAAAAATTGTAATTAAACTTAATCCGCTCAATTTGAAACGCACATCGAGGCGGTCAAAAGTGCTTCTGCCCCAGCTGCCAGCCTCAATTTTCTCACATTGGCCCTTTTAGGCCGACTGAATATTTATGAGGATCCTGTGGCGAATATACTTGGCTTTTAATGAAATTTCAAATGTAATGAAAACATTAATATATTGCAAATAATATACAGAAAACATACAGTAAGCTAATGCATATTCATTTAATAATTTCTTTTATTAATATGAACTCCTTTCCTCCTGATTCTCATAAAGCTCTAATGATATATTATCACATCCAGAATTCGAATTAAGTTATTTGGCTTTTTACTGTTTTTACAACCTTGGTAAAATGAAATTTTTGTTTGTTGTCCTTTCCAATCTTTTCCTTTTTTTGCCTGTGTGCCTTCATGCATTTAAAATGTGCATAAATTATTGAATTAGTGCGTTTGCCACCAATTTCCCTTATTCTTTTAAGCAATTTTAACGCTCAGCTTTTTTTACAATGAGAAATAAACAAAATTTCAGGAAGGCAGCGAAAGCAAAAGTGGGAAACACTTTCCTATAATTTATGCATGGCTCTGAAGCTGACGTTGACTTTGGTTTGGTTTTCTGGTTGCCTTTTCATTTATTTATTTATAACATTCACAATCAGTGGAAACTGCCAAAGGGCCGAAGCCAGCAATTAGTTCCAAGATCTTTGGGGATGTTTTAATTATTGCATCGAAAAAAATTCTCCCTTTGGTTATGGGTGTGGCCTAAATGTAATAAACATTTTCAAGAGTTTTTTTTTTAATGTTAAAGTATTTGTTCTATTGTTCATTTTGTTTTGCTTAGAAATCAATTTTTTTTGTACAAATATACAGACTGTTCTCAAAATGTGTGAAAAGTATTGTTTAAATTTGAAGAAGGTTATTTATTATTTATATATTATGTTTTCAATAAGGTTCGTAACCTGTTCATTGGGGGTAGAAATGAAAATTTAAATTGGAGCTGCTTTAAGATAATTTTATAAGCTAATTTAATTATTAAAACTCCGGCTTGCCGAAGTTGGTATTTTTCTGGCTACGTTTTATTTTCATATCAACGTTTACGATTATTTTCTGTATGGCTTTATTTCTGGGACTTTATTCTTGAAATAACTATACTGATAAGGTACAACTAAAATATTTGTATTCCGGAGCTAGTTTGGGAAAAACACAAATAATTAATATAAATAATAATAATATAAATAGAAGATATGTCTAAAAAAAATCCGTTTCTTACAAAAACCCGATATTTAAAGGTCTTTTAATTTAAATTACCCAATGCAGAAGATAAGAAGGCACTTTGAAAATCGCTTAATTTCGTTATGGATATAACACCCGAGTAATCATAATTTTATAGAAAGCTGATAAGGAACTAACATAAAAGGTAAGTCACCCAAGTAAACGCAGAAGTTTCCGTTAGACATTCACAAGAAAGAGGTCTTGAACTCAGTACATCATGACACCCGGATCTCAGAATAATTTACCATACGGATCATGACGAAGGACGATTACCCAAGAGTAAAAGCATTCATGAAGGATGATTTCCTTAAGTCAGAACCCCTGTGCCAATCCAGTAGCAAGCCGATGGAACTGGAGAAGGAGAAGGAGAAGGAGATGGACGATTATCATCTCTCATTGATAGCCCAAAGCACCTGCTTGGTGGCCCTTGAAGAGAGCAACGGCGACAAATTGGTTGGTTTTGTCCTCGCCGGAGCGCAGTTTCCCGAAGATCTCGAGAAGCATCGCCAGGAGGCAGAGGTAATGGACCAAAATTTCTTGGGCCACATTACTTTCATGCTCTCCAAGATCGAGCGCGAAGCAGATATCTTCCGGAGATATGGTATCTCCAAGGCTCTTTACTCCCATATCACCAGTGTTGCTGCTTCAATGAGAGGAAAAGGGTTGGGCTCCCGGTTAGCCAGCAAACTGATGGATGTGGGCCGCTCCAAGGGATTCCCTGCGATGGTGGCCTACTGCACCAGTTTCTACTCTGCCCGCCAGAAGGAAGCCCTGGGAATGGAGTGCATTCACTTCCTGGTCTACGCCGACTACAAGGACGATAGTGGTCATCCGATCTTCACACCGGCAGCTCCGCACACAAAGGCTCGAGTCATGTTCATCAAATTGTGAGTTGGGATATCTCATAGGAAACTAGATCCTAATCTCAGTAGTGTAACTAATAACCATCATGGCAGATTTAATATAATTATTTTGGAAAAGAAAAAAAGATATTGTGTCAGTTGTTATCAGTAGAACTTATTATGTTAGTTTTGTATCTCTTGACCAATTACCGACACGTATAAACGTTTAATTTTTTTTATTGATAAGAAAATAAATAAAACACTAACAAAATCGTTGAAAAGCAAGATAAGATTATGTGAAAACGCTATGAACCCGCTTCTTGGGTCTGTCGTCAAAATGTGTGAATATCAAAAAAGAAGTATAACAAGAAAGGAAACTAACTTCGTCACGCCGAAGTTTATATACCCTTGCAGATAGAACTTCGATCACTAAGAATTAATACAATTTAAATAATATATGTATATTTATGTTAAAAAGCAATGAAGTAATGCCTGTTCTCTGGGTGTTGAAATGACCACTTACGCACATTAAAATTGGACATATTGCTTTCAGATGATTTGATAAATTAATTGAATTATTTTTTAAAGGGTATCAAATCTTTGGCCCGGCGAAGTTTGTACTTTTTCTGGTTACTTTGTATATTATCAATATTTACAATTATTTACAATTATTTACTGGATGGCTTTATATTTGGGACTTAATTCATGAAATGATCATACGATAAGATACAAGTATAATATTGTATTCTTTTGCTAGTTTAGGAAGATGTTCAGGCAATGCCAATAATCCGTTCATATTTAAATAAATAGAGTGTCGTAAATTTATATTATAATATAATTATATATTATTTGTAAGTGCACTGCACTTAAAACAGCCAATTAAGATTGTTCCTTCTTAATTAGTAACTTAGTGGAAGACCACAGACAAGGTCCTTGCCGCTAAAATTACTCAAGGGTTAGATTTGGTGTAGGTTATATCGAAGATGTGTCTAAATAAAATCAGTTCCTTATAAGAATTCGACATATAAAGGTCTTTTGATTTTTGATATTCAGAAGATAAGAAGCCACTTGAAAAATCGTTCAATTCCGTTATCGTTGTAACGCCCAAGTAATCATTATTTTATAGAAAACTGATAAGAAAATAATATAAAAGCCAAGTTGCGGAGGTAAACCCAGAAGTTTCGTTAGACAGTCGAAGAAAGAGGTCTGAAACCTAGTACATCATGACACCCGGATCACAGGATAATGTTACCATACGGATCATGACCAAGGATGATTACCCAAGAGTAAAGGCGTTCATGAAGGATGATTTCTTTACGTCAGAACCCCTGTGCCAATCCAGTGGGCAGGCGATGCATCTGCAGAACGAGAAAGAAAACGACGAGTATCACCTCTCAATGATAGCCCAAGGCACCTGCTTAGTGGCCCTTGACGAGAGCAACGGTGGCCGATTGGTTGGCTTCGTCCTTGCCGGAGCCCAGTTCCCGAAGATCTCGAGAAGCATCGCCAGGAGGCAGAGGTCATGGAGCAACATTACTGGGGCCGCATTTGTCGCTTGCTCTCCAAGATCGAGCGCGAAGCTGATCTCTTCCAAAGATACGGTATCTCCAAGGTTCTGTACTCCCATATCACCAGTGTGGATGCGTCGATGAGAGGAAAAGGCTTGGGCTCCCGGTTAGCTAGCAAACTAATGGATGTGGGTCGCTCCAAGGGATTCCCTGCGATGGTGGCCTACTGCACCAGTTTCTACTCTGCCCGCCAGAAGGAAGCCTTGGGAATGGAGTGCATTCACTCCCTGGTCTACGCCGACTACAAGGACGATAGTGGTCATCCGATCTTCACACCGGCAGCTCCGCACACAAAGGCTCGAGTCATGTTCATCAAATTGTGAGTTGGGATATCTCATAGGGAACTATATCCCAATCTCAGTCTAACTAATAACCATCATGGCAGATTTAATTAAATTATTTTGAAAACGAAAAATAAATATTGTTAAAATATTGTTATCAATTAAACTTATCTTTGTTACTATTTTATCTCATGACCAATAACCGGCACATTTAAAAATTTGATTGTTTCTTATTGATAAGAAAATAAATAAAAACAATAAGAAAAAGTTGTTGAAAATCAAGAAAAGATTATGTGGAACCACTTGGTTTACAGACGCAAAGTGTGTGTGAATAACAAAAAGTCAAGTGTTTTGAATGTTTACGACGTTTAGGCTCTAGAACATATGAATTAGTGAATACAGGAAATAAAAATAGTAACCGAGATTAAATTAAATTTAATAAATTAGATTTCAATAATTTTTTTCTTCTTTATCTTTATATTTATTTATAAAACCCTTATACCATTTATAACAAATCAATCATAGCAATTAGCCGATTTTGCCATCGTATTGGGGAAACAAACAGATTAAAATGTGTAATAAATGGCCTCAACAAAACAATCTAGTTAGGCAATTTCTCTGTTTCATGCTGTTTTTGTTTTCATTTCACTTTTGTCGTCTCCTGTAGCAGATTTTCCACTTTGCACGTACGAAAAAAACAACAGAGGCAACAGGGAAGTTCTCAACAGACCGTGTCCCCATCCCCAGACCCCAGTTTGCTGCCAGTGTTGGGTCTCTTGAACCCACTGGGTTGGTTTTTTTTTTTTATTTTTCAGCTTTTGCAGTGATTTCATTAAAATTTTACTGTCATAGTAAAAGTTTTATTATGAACTCACGAACTGTTGCTGCTTCTGCAGACGTGGGCCAAAAATAACACCGTCGAAGTAAATAAGCGGAGAGCTGGTGCATGGGGAGGAGTGAATGAGAACCAAGGACTCAAAAGTCATCTCAGGTTGGCCTAGCCTGCATCATAGGTGTGCTTTCCATCCCACTGAACTGAAAAAGGATACACACACCTGCAATATGCTGAAAAGTAAAGAGAAACGCTAACCAAAAGATGTATCTGTATACAATTTCTTAGCTCTGAATCCGACTCATTAAATTGAGGTAATTGGTCTTTTATTTAGTTAGTCCTAAGGGGAGTAGATAAATTAAAGGATTTGTTTTAAATTTTCTAACGTTTAAAAGTTTATTATGGAATAGGTTTGTTAGTCTTCAATATCTATTTACAATTTTAAAGTTTAATGTGTGGTGATTACTCCTTGCCACACCTTTTAACTTTCCTTGACCTCTTTATCCTTCAATCTCTGATGAGTTTTTAGTCATTTGCTTAGATTCAGAATTTTTTGATAATTTAAACTTTCTTGGACGTTGATGCACTAAGGTCAGTACATACAAGTGGCCCGTATGACACCAGGCACGTGCCTGTTTGGGTTAGGTGTTAGTAGGCGCGATGGAAAATATAGGACAGAATACGAGGAAAATTGACTACCGGCGTGCTGCCAGATTGTTAGCTTGCATGCTTACTAAGTATGTTAATATCAAAGATTTTAATTTGGGAAGGGAATCTACGTTAGAGATTAGTGTGTACAAATCATTATAATTTGCACATAACACTCTAAAAGGTTCATGCAGTTCAAAGGAGGTCCTACAGTGGCGCAACACTAATGGGATATAGGATCTAGTGGTTCTACATGGTACATGGAAATTAAGCTGACCCAACAAGTCAGCACTTTCCACATCACCATGGATAAGGTTAAAAATAAAGGTTATCCCTAGCATCGTTCTACGATTGGCTAAGGACGGCAAGTTTATTAATAGGAGTCTACTAGAGTAGGAAGGTAATCTTTGGTTTGCATCCCAATTTAAACCGCGTAGAGCGAAAAGTAAAAAGTTCTTTTGAACCGACTCAATGCGTTTACTATGGACGCCGTACTGAGGGCTCCAAACGCAGCATCCATATTCTAGGGTAGGACGAACTAAGGAAGTATATAAGGATTTAGTAACATAGGGGTCATTGAATTCCTTCGACCACCGTTTAATAAATCCAAGCACACCCCTGGCCCTATTCACCATAGACGAAATATGATCAATAAGTCAAGTTTTGGGTCCAAGCGGACGCCCAAATCGTCAACTGTATTAATTCTTTCCAAAGAGCAGCCGTTCAGCGTGTAAGTAGCAAGCTTAGGAGCGACACGAGAGAATGTCATTAGCTTGCATTTCGAGCCATTTAAGTTTAATAAGTTTACACGGCACCAAGTTTGAAAATTATTAAGATCTGTTTGTAAATCCGACTGGCAGGCAACGTCATTGTATTGCACGCAAAGCTTGACGTCATCCGCGTACATAAGTACTCTGGAGTTAGTCAAGACTTTGGGCAGGTCATTTATGAACAATGTAAACAATAAGGGTCCCAAATGGCTTCCTTGCGGGACACCAGATGTAACCCTTAGAATATTGGATAAATTATTATTATTAGAGGACCTTTTGCGTCCTGCCATTCAAATAACTAGAGATCCAATTAAGAAGATCACTTGGAAAACCCATTGAATCGAGTTTTCTAACGAGGAGAGAATGATTAACAGAGTCAAATGCTTTACTGAAATCAGTATAGATTACATCTGTCTGACAATTATTATGGAAGCCCTTTATAATATAGGAAGAGAGCTCCAAAAGATTTGTTGTTGTTGATCTTCGCTTAATAAAACCATGTTGACATGGAGAAATAACCGATCTACAAAGGTGCTGTAAATGAGGGGTGATAATATTTTCAAATAATTTTGGGATGGCCGACAACTTAGAGATTCCTCTATAATTGCTGGCATCCAATTTGCTACCTTTTTTGTGGAGAGGAATAATAAACGATTCCTTCCAAATAATGGGAAAGTGGGAGGTTTCTAAGGACAAGGTAAACAATTTCAGAAGGGGATAGCACAGGGCGTCGGCACAATACCTGAGCACACAGCCAGGAATTCCGTCGGGACCTGGCGAATAAACTGGCTTGACACGATGCAGATCTAAAAGGAGAGAGCTTTCGTTTAGGCTAGGACAGAAAATTAAGTTCGATTTGGGTATGTCGTAGGAATAAGTCTGGTATATATACGAAGAGCTAGAATAGGTTGTTTGAAAAAACTGCGAAAATAGATCGGCTATTGCCTGATCATTATTTGCGGTAGTGTTTTCAAATGAAAGCGAGGAAGGATTTGTTTTAGGTTTACGTTTAGTGTTAACGAAATTATAAAACTGTTTTGGGTCCTGTGAGAACTGGGCCCTACAACGAGTTAAATAGTTTTTATAACACTGCGCGTTCAGCACGGAAAAGTTTGACCGAGCTGATAAATAAAATGAAAGGGCAGATTGAGAACCGGTGATTTTAAATTTAGCATACAGTCTAGATTTTTTATTTTTAAGTCGGCTCAACTCTTTAGTAAACCACGGCGGTTTATTCGAGCTTGGCGGATAATATAACGGAACACATTCAGTAAAAAATGAATTCATGGCACTGTAAAAAATATCAACGGCAACTGCCATGTCAGTGCACATGTATAGATCGGACCAATTGAACTCGTTTATAAAATTATTCAGCCGTTCAAAGTCCGTTTTGCGAAAACATAGGACTTTATTGGCTGGACGGTCAGAAATATGCTGTACGTCACACCCAATATCAAGAGTCACATCGAAAGTTGGATGATAAGGATCTTCGGGTTGCGTCAGAGGCGCCACCCTTGCTAAACTGACTCTCGCAGGATCAGAGACGAAGCAAAGATCGAGCAAGCGCTGTAAGGAATTTCGAACATGGTTGACTTGAGACAGCGAAATGTCAAACAAGCCAGCGATAAAGTCATGTTGTGTAGGTGTATTGAGAGTATTGGTGGAATTATTCGAGCACCAAATAGCACCAGGGATATTAAAATCTCCAAGAACTACCAACTGGTCTCTATCCAAAAGTCTACTGGAAACCATCTGAATAGCGGAAAGGTGATTCCAATAAATAGGAAGTTCCGACAGTGGAGGTATGTAGGAACAGGTAATAAAAATTGAGCTATCTTTGATAGATAGCTTCACACAGAGGAATTCAACATCGTTGCATTCCTCGAAGGTTAATAATTCTGACGTGAGTGAGGAGTCCACCGCTATAAGAACTCCACCCCCGCGTCTGATAGGGCGATCTAGCCGATATACCGTGAACACAGCTGGAAAAACTTCGGAGCTCAGAATCTCCGGCTTTAACCAGGTTTCTGTGAGCACAATAACCTGAGATGCAAACGAAAGGCTATCAGAATACAAGTTAGGAAGCTTACTACGTAAGCCTCTTGCATTCTGATAGGAAATACCTAAGGAGTGGGTTAGTTTTTTGGGTCGGGATTGGAAGACGTAGAAGGCGCAGTGGTAACATCAGGCCTGGGAAGAGTTATTCCTACAGGCCGCTTTTTCTTTTTCTTCGCCTCGAACTCCTTAACAACTATGTACTCTGGCCAGAAGTTGGGAGAGCAAATAGTGCTAAAGAGCTCGTTAGGGACATTTATCTTGAAAGATGAAATGTCCCTTGCGTAAGAAAATTTAAACTTTTCCACCTTTATCTTAATTTTTTCGGCTCTGGTTTTGCCTTGTATAAAGGCGAGAACATCTTCCGATGTTTGATCAGGGGAGAGCCGCGAGACAAAAATATGTCTCGTTGGTGGAACAGCTATAAGGGCTTTTGGCAAGGCAGATTGGTTATCTGCCGTGCCATTGTCGGCCGGTATTCCGGGCCTAACACCCTGGGTAGATAATGGTGTGTGCACGGGACTTTGAGGGGTCAATATTTGCGACCCCCCAGGGGATAAAACAGAAATCACCGGCGGTACGGACACCCCGCTGCACATTCGGATACCGAATCTTTCTTAGCGCTCGATCTCAGCACTCTTGGAATTAATGCTGAGGTCGAGGGCTGTGCCGTGGGAGGCTGCTGCTGAGAGCCTGTTGCGGGTAGTTGGGGTCCGTCTACATGCTGCCCACCAATAGCAGTTTTTTTGCGCCTAGGAAACTCATTTAATAGCGTAAGGCTATTAAATTGGGTGTCCAGCGCCAAGAACATATCAAGAGTTTTACGAAAACTCGTTAAAATGCCCTTAACCCGCTTTTGGTTTGCCGCATGAAAGACGTCATTTCCCTTTCTACAT